GTGTGTGTGTGTGTGTGTGTGTGTGTGTGAGCGTGTGTGTGCGTGTTATTTGTATATTCCTTTTTTATATAAGAGAGCTCTATTTAAAATACCTTTAAATGGGCTTTTCAATACGCATAAAACAGTGGTCGAATTTATTTCTGTGTATGATTAGAGCATTTGATGAATTGTTATCTACAAGGTCCCTTTTATGTTCCTAGATACGTTTTTTTGCGCATAAATATTAAAAATACCACGTACTTATATTCAAACAAACCTTTCGAAAAACACTTTGTGCATAAAATTAGAAATTAAACTGCAAAATAAAGATGCCAAAAAACTCTATGTCATTAAAAAAAAAAGACGATATACGAAAAACGGATGTCATCATTTATTGGACAGGCACACTTACCCTATCTTAAATTAACCTATAATTAAATTTAAGGATTAGTTTCTGTTTTTGAAACACGGTAATTCTTGTGTAGCGATGAAACCATATTTTTAAATTAGTAAATTCATTATATATATATATATATATATATATATATATATATATATATATATATATATATATATTGTGTGTATTTAGGCAGCATGGAAAAATTCTTGAAGCTATATACATAAAACAGTTGGAACCTAACCTGAAGAAAATAAACTATGAAATCTTCACAAATATGCTTAAATGCCTATAATTGGTAACAGAAGCCATTGGTTTATACCAACGGCTTCCCATACTTAATACTTTACGTTTTCACTCTCACGTGGTCACGAGCTGCGGTGCGATTTCTGCTTCCAGTGTCGTATATGCACGAGTTTGTCGTTGCTTGGAAATCATCCATGTAAACAGAAACAGACTATCATCTCTGTCTTGTCCGTGTATTGCTTAATATATTGTATTGTAATGTAATTGTCATCTTTGATAATGGCTTATGTAAGCCGAAAGCTTATATAGGATTAAAAAATATGTATCAATATTGTGATTTTCTTTCTTCGTTTAATGATAATGTTATTAAGCTTATCAGACGATATGAAAAGAATTTACATAAAATAAATAGACAAACACTTGTCTATATTATTTAATGAAACATGTATCAATGATATATATATATATATATATATATATATATATATATATATATATATATATATATATATATATGAATAAGTTTTGTTTTTCCATGTCGATAAATATGAAAATTTCTCCGATTTAATCGGTAGAGAAGACAATCGGAGAAATTTTCATATTTGTCGACATGGAAAAAAAAACTTATTCATAAATATTGTCTTTCTACCGATTAAATCGGAGAAATTTATATATATATATATATATATATATATATATATATATATATATATATATATATATATATCATAGAATATGACAGACAAGGTGTTTTGATTTAGTTTTTATACAATTAGATCTCATTTAAATACACATGGAGACCTACCTATTCGTAGCATACTTGTTGACAACACAAATATAATAGCATCATCTACACGTAAAAAAAGGCTAAAAACAATGGAAACCTTATTAATATAAAAAAAAAAAATGTTTTATTAAGACTCTCAAATGTTCTGGCAGGTCGATGTTGAATTCTACTGTTTAAAACAGGGACCTCTACTCAAATACGAGTATATACTAAATAGTAATAAGAAGTAATGTCAAATTGTGAGTAAAATCCATTAATTTATTAGAAATAACTTCATTTATGTTTCGGACACTTCCAGAAACGAAGCAAAGTATTAAGAAACGGGAAAATTTAATTAGAAACATAGAAAAGATTACTGAACTGCTAGTTAATATCTAATTTATTTACATTAGAATAGGGACACATGCCTTCCAGAAACTAAGCAAAGTATTAAGAAACAGGAAAATTTTTATTAGAAACAAAGAAAAGTGTACTGAAATGCTACATATAATATGATTTTTTACATTACATTAGTGAAAGTGCCTTCCAGAAACTAAGGAAGGTATTAAGAAACAGGAAAATTACATTAGAAACATAGAAAAGAGTATTGAACTGTTGTATATCTATTTTTTATATTAGATAGAGAAAGATGCCTTCTAGAAACTAAGCAAAGTATTAAGATCAGGAAAATTTCTTTAGCAATATAGAAAAGAGTACTGAACTGTTGCGTAATATTTATTTTTTACATTAGATGTAAGAAAGTTGCTTTCCAGAAACTAAGCAACTTATAAAGAAACAGGAAAATTTCGTTAGAATGAAAACGAGACTTGAAATGAGAGAAATATGGCGCCGACAATACCATGAAGAGAACACGTAAGTAACGGAAGTCTTCAGAAAAATTGGAACAAGAGACAGCTTGGTTAGACTTTGGAAGTTATTGTCAATTGAGTTCAAATAAAGGAACAAATTATATATATATATATATATATATATATATATATATATATATATATATAAATGGCCAAAAAAAATCAAAATTCTTTCTTCTTTTACAGTATTAAGTATAATTTAAATCTATATTAGACTACCCATAAACCCGTTCAGTTCCTTTTAAAAGCAGTTCATGGGGCAAAAAAAGTTATTGTAATAATAATTATTCGTGGCATTAAACTCTATCACTGAGATCAAAATCAATTAGAAATAAATACGAAAATATTTACTATCTTTTTATATTTCTGAGATGAGGTATTATGTACACTATTTACATTATTCGGACTATTGTCCTCATCATTGTCGCCATATTTATTAGAACGTTTCAGCCTTTCAGTATCTGTCTATATTTCTGAGATGAGGTATTATGTACATTATTTGGACTATTGTCCTCATCTTTGTCGCCATATTTATTACAACGTTTCAACCTTTCAGTATCTGTCTATATTTCTGAGATGAGGTATTATGTACATTATTCGGACTATTGTCCTCATCTTTGTCGCCATATTTATTACGTTTCGGCCTTTCAGTATCTGTCTATATTTCTGAGATGAGGTATTATGTACATTATTTACATTATTCGGACTATTGTCCTCATCTATTCGCCATATTTATTACGTTGTACACTCTGGCCTTCTTCAGATGATTGGAATGTCGAACTGAACTCTTTATTTCTCTCACTGGGGTAGACTGTTCTAGTTCCCCGTGCCAAGTTTAATGGATGTCATTTATCAGTTATCTCCTGTTAATTTCCCTTTGACACATGGCACAGTGGATAAAGTCGTTGGTTAGATCCAGTGACAGGACCCAAAGAGTGTGAGTTCAATACCCGGTTAAGGCAGTGGAGAACTTTCAGAGGGGAATTAACAGGAGATAACTGATAATTGACATCCATTAAACATGGCACGTGGATCTAGAACGGTCTACCCCAGTGAGCGAAATAAAGGATTCAGTTCGACATTTCAACCACTTGAAGAAGGCCGGAGCTACAATGGCCGAAACGTTGTAATAAATATGGCAACACAGTGGATAAAGGCGTTGCCTACTTCGACGTGGCATAGTAGTTAGCAAGCTTGTCTCACTCGATCTATTACGACCGAGCTGTGACTTCGATCGTCACTGGGTGGCCCAAATTATCTGCCTTGTGCCACATCTACCCTAGGTTTAGAAAAACATTTTATGCACTTCGACGTGATGTAATGGTTAGCAAGCTTATCTGGCTAGATCAATTACGACTGATTAGTGAATTTGATCCTCATTAGGTGCCCTACACTTTCGGCCTTGTGCCACATCTAAGCTATTCTTTGAAAATCATTTAAGGTGCTTTGATGTGGTGCAATGGTTAGCAAGCTTATCTCGCTAGATCAATTACAACTGAGTAGTGAGTTCGATCCTCACTGGTCGCAATAAACTTTCGACCTTGTGCCACATCTAAGTTACGCTGAGATAATCACTTTATGAGCTTGAGTGAATGGCGGAACACGGTTGAAGAGAAACAACAAAAAGACGAAATTCATTATGAGCTTCCAAGAACAGGAAATTGTGGAGAGCCATCATCGCGTACGTTCTGAAGGAACACAAAACATGTAACCCTATCATTCATCAACAATTTGAAGAAACAAGTCGCAGAAGAATTGCAGGAGATTCCGAAGTCGTCTGAAGGCCGTGGTTGAAGCCAGGGCCGATTTTATTGAATAAATTTAAATAAATTATTTTTGTGTAATTTTGATAAATATATCTGCTAAAATGAGGATGTCAGTGTTATTTTCATTTTGGCATAATTTAGACTACAATTTATCCACAGCACCCTGTATATACCCGCTAAAAATTACGGCTTTTAAAAATTTTATTTTTATGGCGAGAGAGACAAACAGGCAGAGAGAGGTTTGTACAAAGACTAGCAGCATGGCCCGGCGTTGCCCGTGCTTCATTCAAAAATCGTACGACTCATACAGCAATCGCTATCACTTGACTGTGTCGTGCTGATGTTGCTACATGACTTACTTCTTGCCTATCTCACACTGCGAATTTTTTCTAAGCTCTATACTAAATATTAAATCTGTTACGAAAAAAGAACTAAACAAAATGAACACAAAACGATCATCTTTAAAAAAGAACTCGTAACTGGAAAAACCGAATGAAAAAAGAATGTTAACAACAAATACTTTTTCACACCCAACCCAGTTCTGCGGAATCAGAATCAACGTTGAGTTTAAGCAAGCGAATGAGCCAATTGGAGTAAAGTGCCATGCAGATTTAAATTTTTCCCACTTGTGACGAATGCAGCTATCGATTTTTTTTTGCATGCTAGCATGCTAGTTAACATTTGTGTCAGTCAGCTGTTGGCTCTCACGCTGGCCAGTAGAATCTTCCTGCCTATTCGTGGCAGCCAGCTATTGGCTCTCACTCTGGCCAGTACAAAATGGCTGCAAACTGCATGAAAACTGCCGTACAAGCATGAAAAAATCGATTATTTCCACTATCGATGGGAGTTGGGAAATGCAATGTCGGTCTTGACCTTCCCGCTAACTTGGAGCATGTGCATGTAAATTTTGGTGCAAATCCGTCGAAAATTGCGGCCGTGCATTCGTTACACACACACACACACACACATCCTGCCTTTTATAGATAGAGATACAGAAAGAGAGAGACAGCGAGGGGAGAGAGAGGGGGTTGTATAAATGTAAATGGACATTGTGAGACAGACAGACAGACAGAGAAAGAGACAAAGAGAAGTAGTTCATTCCTCGCACTATAATATGTATCTAGATAGAGTCTGTTGGAAAGACAGACAAGTAAAGAGCGACAAACAGACAGACAGCTAAACGGACAAAAGCGAGTCAAAAAAAAAAAAAAGAAAATACGGAGAGATTCTAGAAACCCAGTCGACAATGCAATTATTATAAAATTATTAAAAGAAACAATGAATAATACAAATACTTTCTGTCTCTGTTTAAAAAGCTTTCCCAAAATCTCAACAGATTCCACGTGATAATAATATATCTAGATATACACTGACGTGCCAAAAGTAATGGGATAGTAGTAGGCAAATATAATTGAAGGTGGCGTCACCGTAATTTGACGTAATGGGAACACCTAGATCTGAACATCTGAATGCCCACAAGCTCTCTTGGACTCTGACATTTGGTATGTCAGTGTGAACATTAGGTTGGTTTGGTTGGTTTGTTGTGTTTTACGGCATATCAACCTCAATGGGTTATTTAATACCGACAACTCTTTTTTACCTGGTAATATTTTGTTTTGTCAAAAATCTATCTCTGGTAATATTTTTTCCTCAAAAATGTATAGCTGGTAATATTTTAAAACGTATTGCTGGTAATATTTTTTTCAAATATATTGCTGGCAATAGTTTTTTCAAAAATATATTACTGGTAATAGTTTTTTGGGTTTTTTTTCAAAAATATATTGCTGGTAATAGTTTTTTTTTCTTTAAAAAAGTATTTCTGGTATTAAAACTTATTTTTATACTTTTATAATGCTTTTTACCTCAATTTCGGGGTTAACTATTTTCCCTGGGCTGGGACCCTAACAGGTTCTACCACCCCGAGTCAGAGTGGATCTTAGAATACCAGAAATTAAGAGGTGGTTCCATGCTCCTCAAAACCTCCTAATCAGAGGCCTTGCTGTTGGACGTAGTTTATCGTCATACCCAGGACGCTAAACATTAGGATAAGTCAACGTGAACAATAGAATGCCCAGATGTTATCTTGTATTCTGACATCTAGGCTGTTCTCTTCACTAACATCTGGTGAGTGAGGGCATCTGCGTCGGCAGATATCAGAGAGCTTCTGGGCATTCAGATGTTCGCATCGACTCACCAGATGATATTCTTTTGGACTGAGATCTGGGGAAGTCAATGTGAACATCGGAACGCACAGACGCGCCCTTGGACTTTGCCATCTGGTCACGCAGATACCTTCTTGGACATTGACATCTGGTCACTCAGTATGAACATCTGAAAGGGCAGATGTTCTCTTGGACTTCTGTCAAAGTTCAAGAGGATATCTGTGTCTCTAGATGTCAGAGACCAAATGGGTATTCCGATGTTCACATTGACTGACCAGATGTCGATACTGTCTTGGACTCTGACATCTGGCCACTTAATGTGAATATCGGAATACTCAGATGGCTTTTTCGATTCTGACACCAGGTCTGAATGCGTAAGTGACACAGATGTACTCTGTGTACCAGTGTGAACAGCGAAATGTCCATATGTCCTCTTGAACTCTGACATCTGGTGAACCAGATTCATTCTTGGCCTCTGACATCTGGTGTGAACATTGACTCACTAAATATCAGAAGCTGGTGAGTCAATGTGAACATCGGAACGTCCTTCTTGACATCTTGGTCTCTGGTAGATGGACGGGACATCTGGGCAATCCGATGTTTGTGTCAGATGCTCACCAACTTTGACATTTGATGAATCAATCAGAACCTTCAGATGCCCTCATGGTGACACAGATGACCTCCTGGACTCTAACATCTGGTCAGTCAGTGTGAACATCTGATGTCAGAGACCAAGAAAGTATCTGTGTTACCAGATGTCAGAATCAGTGTGAATATCGGACTAGACTACCTCATGAACTCTGACATAGATGACCTCCTGGACTCTAACATCTGGTCAGTCAGTGTGAACATCTGATGTCAGAGACCAAGAAAGTATCTGTGTTACCAGATGTCAGAATCAGTGTGAATATCGGACTAGACTACCTCATGAACTCTGACATAGATGACCTCCTGGACTCTAACATCTGGTCAGTCAGTGTGAACATCTGATGTCAGAGACCAAGAAAGTATCTGTGTTACCAGATGTCAGAATCAGTGTGAATATCGGACTAGACTACCTCATGAACTCTGACATAGATGTCCTCCTGGACTCTAACATCTGGTCAGTCAGTGTGAACATCTGATGTCAGAGACCAAGAAAGTATCTGTGTTACCAGATGTCAGAATCAGTGTGAATATCGGGCTAGACTACCTCATGAAGTCTGACATAGATGACCTCCTGTACTCTAACATCTGGTCAGTCAGTGTGAACATCTGATGTCAGAGACCAAGAAATATCTGTGTTACCAGATGTCAGAATCAGTGTGAATATCGGACTAGACTACCTCATGAACTCTGACATACGGTTAGTCAGTGTGACATCGAATTGCCCTGACGCCCTCTTGAACTTAGTCATCTGCTGACATAGATGACCTCCTGGACTCTAACATCTGGTCAGTCAGTGTGAACATCTGAGTGCCCAGATATCCTCTTGACCTACTGGGTAATCCGATGTCAGAGTCTCAGATGACATCTGTGTCTCCAGATGTTTGTCCAAGAGAACATCTACGTTGAAGAGGGCAATCCGATATCACACTAATGTCATTGTGATATCAGATTGCTCAGGCGCCCTCTTGAACTCTGTCATATGCTGACAGAGATGACTTCTTAGACTCTGTTAGAGTGTTTAAAATTCCAGTATCACCTGGAGAAGTCCGGAGCGTACAACGGCCGAAACGTCGTGAATGCGGCAATAAAGATGAGAACAACAATCCGAGAGATGTAAATAGTTATAATAACTCATTTCAGAAATATAGACAGATGTTCTACCTATGTTTTTAATATTTGCTATATCACTATATGTGCAGTCGTTGAATTGAATGAAGGCTTGGATGGATATTTTTTGATAAATTTGTTTAATAAATTCTATCAGTGATAAGGCAGGTTTGAGTGAGTGAAAATTACGATATGCTGTAATTCCCCATGTATAATACGCATTTTTTCTAAAGAAAAAAAAAGCAAAATTAGGCGTGCGCATTATGCACAGCTACAAAAAATCTTTAAAAAATTGCAGTTTCATAGGTCGATTTTATTTGCGAAAACACTACTCACCACAAACATACGACGATTTGACACATTCGTCGATTGCGACCCCATAAGGATGTCAAATACAATCATATGTAACTAACAATACTTACAAATGTAAAATAAAATAAATTAGAATAATATTATTATATGTTTAAAACCATTTTTGCGAAAAACTATAAACAGATCTGCTAGATTGCACATTTTATTGAACAAGAACAGGTTAATGTCTGCGCAGTAGGCACAATATAGGTATTTCCGTTTCTTTTGAGAATCGTAATGATCGGAAATTTTGATAAATATCTTCAATTACAGCCTGAATAAGAGTAGGAAACGCTGGCCATAATGAAATTGGAGAGGTACAATTTATAGGGTTTAATTACCAAACAAGAGGTGCGTATTATGCGTGAGCAGAAGCATTTTCCCACACTTTCAGCACAATTTTAGGGCTGCGTATTATGGATGAAGGCGTATTGTACATGGGGAATTACGGTAGTTGTTTAATCAAGCTTACTCACCCTTTGTTTTGCGTAGCGACGCAAACTCATCATATTTATTGTACAACATCAAATGTTTCAGGTTTAGATAAAATAATTTACTTGGCCTTTCGATTCTTCTTCATGCTTCATTAAATGTTTAGAAGCTAAAATCAAAGGGAGTCATTTTGAGAAAAACAACGAAACGCACTGTAGGCTTATCTTAATTTTTGCTTATAGAGGTTTTTTTTTGGTGGGGGGGTGTAAACGCTATCAAGTTTCTTCCCTTTATAAAACCCCGCCTTTCGTTATCGTCAACTGTACTTCTTGCATAAATAAGAACACCTAACTCGTTTCTCTAAACAGTAAATGAATAGACGTCTTATATAATAGCCTACAACCACACATATATGTAAACATATGGCCAAGTGGTTAGAACGTTCGCTTTCTGACCATGAGACCCGGGTTCGAATCACGCCAGGGACTTCTTGATATTATCGGTCTCAAAGAGGCGATCCCAAGGTGTCTGGAAAGTGACTTCATACGACAAGTTGACCCAAGCCTTGTGAGTGGAAATTGTGTAGACGGAACTCTTTGGGAGCTCTCGGTGGTTGAGTTAGCACGACGTCGCCGAGGGTTTGAGTGTGCTGGCCTTGTTCAGACTGTTGATCCCGCTAGATAACGCGTTCTCTTCCAGAAATTGCAACTAAGTTCCGCTCAGCATAGCTCCAGTGTAAACCACAGGTGGGCTCTGTGGGTGTTGAACAAACACAAATCTGTCTGCAACAGGGATTTGCTAGTCGCCCCGGGTAGACTGGCGTCCTCGGATACGAGTGGCCAGCCTTCCATATACAATGTATTATGGTCCTCTATTCACTCTTCTACGTGAAACCTTGTGCAGCAGGCGCATCAAGGAATGGGAAAGGATTCACGTGGATACTCTTCGCCTCATATTTAGAATCTGCTTATAGCATCGTATGACCAACATTGGAATTTTGGATTGTGTGGACTCAATTAAGATAGAACCAATGTTCATCAAACACAAAGCCCGATAGATTGGCCACGTCACCAGCGTGGAGTAAAATGGCATTCTCAGACGCCTGTTCTACGGAGAGCTACCGCGTGGCAGAAAATATCAAGGCCGTCCATAGATACCGTACAAAGGTGCAATCAAAACCATCATTGGCGCAAGACGAAGCCAATGGAGCTAATGAGCTGTCAACCAATCCCAATTGTATGTCATTGTCCACCAAAACCTCTGGAAAATTTTAAGAAACCTAGCGTAAAAAAAAAAAAAAGCTATTCAAAGAGAACGATACCACAGTGAAATTTTGGTATTGGTTACAACCATTGGATTTCAGTGTCGCCACCGCTCCAGACTCTACGTGTCCAAATTTCGTTTGCACAGCTTGACGCCGATCCGCGTCCCTGGGTATGACGGAAATTACATCCGCGTCCTGAGTAAGACGATAAACTATATCCGCGTCCTGGGTAAGACGATAAACTACATGCGCGTCCTGGGTAAGACGATAAACTACATCCGCGTCCTAGGTAAGACGGTAAACTATATCCGCGTCCTGGGTAAGATGATCAACTACATCCAACAGCAAGGCCTCTGATCAGGAGGTTTTAAGGAGCGTGAAACCACTTCTTAATTGCTGGAGTTCCCAGGTCCACCCTGACTCGGGATGGTAGCACCTGTTAGGGTCCCAGTTATGGGCAAATAGTTGACACCCGAACTGGGGGCAAAACACTATGAAATTGTAAAAATAGGTTTTAATACATACCAGAAATACTTTGTAAAAAAAAATATTATTACCAGCAATACATTTTTAGAAACAAAAGTTATTACCAACTATAGTTTACTATTTACGCATTTTTTCCATTGTGCCATATGTGTCTCAAGGACGCATGGCACAGTGTATAAAGGCGTTAGTTCGATTCAGTGACAGGAACCAATGATTGTGAATTCAATACCTGGTTAAGGCGGTGGAGAACTTTGAGAGGGGAATTAACAGGAGATAGCTGATAACTGACATCCATTAAACATGGCACGGGGAACTAGAACAGTCTACTCCAGTGAGTGAAATAAAGGGTTCAGTTCGACATTCCATCCACCTGAAGTAGACCGGTGCGTACAACGGCCGAAACTTTGTAATAAATATGTCGACAAAGATGAGGACGATAGTCCAAATAATGTAAATAGTGTACATAATACATCATCTCAGAAATATAGACAAATACTGAAAGGCCGAAAAGTTGTAATAAATACGGCGACAAAGATGAGGATAATAGTCCGAATAATGTTAATAGTGTACATAATACCTCATCTCAGAAATATAGACAGATACTGAAAGGCCGAAACGTTGTAATAAATATGGCGACAAAGATGAGGATAATAGTCCGAATGATGTTAATAGTGTACATAATACCTCATCTCAGAAATATAGACAGATACTGAAAGGCCGAAACGTTGTAATAAATATGGCGACAAAGATGAGGATAATAGTCCGAATAATGTAAATAGTGTACATAATACATCATCTCAGAAATATAGACAGATACTATAGTTTATTTTGAAAGAAAATATTACCAGCAATAAAAAATTTGTCGGCATTAAATAACCCATTGAGGTGTTGATATGCCGTAAAACAACCAAACCAACTACCCGCTGATCCGCTGATGTACAACAAGACGAAGTCTTCTTCGGAACTGAAGGACAACCATGAAACATTATCCGTATTTATGATGCAAGTCACTGATTTCACAATTCTCTTCTGTGTTCCTTCAGTACGATGGCGTTCATGGCTCTCCCCAACTTCCTGTCCTTTGTAGCTCTTAATAATATTTGTCTCTTTAGATGGCGCTGATTATTTGCATATGAACGATACTGGGCAAGCATAAACAAATAGTCAGCGTGGGACTAGGTATGCCATATAACACCAGTCGAGGGGAGAGCTCTCAATGTGCAGACGTGCGAAAACCAGACAAAACGAACACACTAAAAAATGAACACTATTGTAAGTGGGGGTAATATGGTGTCTAAGTAGTCCACCAATAGTAGTGGTTTACCTACTTCGCGCCGCTGGCGAGTATTGTATTTTGTTGATGTCATAAAGATTACCATTTCATTTCCAACCTCCGTTTTAGTTGTTCCTCATTCAGTAACCTTTTCTAGGTTGCAATAACTTTCTTATTCTAAGTATGTACACTTTTTATTGGCATTTGTCTGCTGCTCGAAAAGTTGGTTCACTGTATCGTGTTAGACATTTTTTTTCACGCTAGAATCTATCTTGGACATTTGTGAATCAACCATTCGACCGTACATCAAATATTGCTGCCACATCTGGCCTGGTGCATCTGCTACATATCTAGAGATTCTTGGCAAAACCCAAAGAAGAATCTGCAATGTTATGCATCTTGAGCTGGCATCTCATTGTAAGTTGCTACGCCCTATCGTAGCTCCTCTTTGTCACGTCTATAAATAAGTTCACGGTAATTGTTCAGATGATCTTTCCTCGCTGATACGTCGACTTCACGAACTTAAGCGCAGTACGAGTTGTCATTTCTCGGGCATGTAATAAGGAAAGAGCGCTTGGAAATATTGACACTCACAAAACAGATTAAAGGCAAGAGGGACAGAGTTAAACAACGCATAACTTAGCTAGCGAGCTTTAGTAATAGTTAATTATTAAAAATTTTTATCGCTAAATCATTAATAACCCCTTCCCAATTTTTTACGCTCTAAACAAATATTTTCTGGCTTTAAATAACCTGCAAAGGGTTGATAAACAGTAAAAATCAAATCAATCAATAAAACAATAAAGACATTCAGTGTTAGGTCCCGCCGTGCTAATGGCGACAAAGCATCCCATTCCCCTCGCGTTTCTCCGATCAGGAAAAAATTCCTTTCAGGCAGTTTCTTCTTCACAACTCTTAATTTGTAACAGAAACTCCTGAGTGGGTGCTTTGGTGGCAACTACAATCTTAGTCTTTTTAAGTCCAGTGTCAACAGATATCTATCCTACACATCCACGAAATTTCTTACTTCCTCATTTCCACCTCACAACAAACTCACTCAGGAAGCCACTACCTTGAGTGGCTCTTTGGACTAGGTAAAATAACAATATAAGAAATATTCCAAATCACTGATGTAAATCATACCTCAAGTGCTGTCACCGGTACATTTTGGAATACATTGATGTGTGTGCAAACACCGACATGTAAGTGTATGTGTAATTGTATGTTCGAGTATTTGTATGTTCGTATGTGTGCATATGTGTCTGTGTCTGAGAGAGAGAGAGAGAGAGAGAGAGAGAGAGAGAGAGAGAAAGAGAGCGAGCGAGAATGCGTGCTTACACATATCTGTATGTCTGGGTGTCTTATTAAACATCTGTGCAGTAGGTTAAAGGCCTGAAAACGACCGAAGTTAACGAAGTATGCAAGTCGCTTAATGGGTCATGACGTCAGCACTACGTCATATTTCCATTGAACAGCAACGCTACGCGCGGAAAGACCCATATGTTTTTTATTGACAGGTTCAGGCCAGACGTTATTCAATACTACAAATAAAAAAAAATGTCACACATCGTAGACTACCAATACAGTGACACACAGACACATATATGTATTTATGTATGCGTGTGTGTGTATGCGTGTGTGCGTTTGTATGTGTATCTGGACGCGCGTGTGTGTGTATGCATGTATGTGTGTAGTGCACACGCTGATTTTGGTTGAGAGTGTACACCATTTTTATATTTGTTTCATCCACACGCACATGTAGGTCAGATATGTTGAAATATTTATGGATGTGTGGAAAGTCAAATGAAGACTTAATTGGGGGGGCATATATGCAAGGACGTATTTGACTTTAGTAATGTAAATGGTTATGTACTTGTACAGCTAGATGTGTATGTACAGACTGATTTAGATAGATAGATAGATAGATAGATAGATAGATAGATAGATAGATAGATAGATAGATAGATTTTAACAGCCTAAGGCAGAAGAAAGAAAGAAAGAAAGAAAGAAAGAAAGAGCCTAAGGAAGGAAGAAAGAAAGAAAGAAAGAAAGAAAGAGACTGACATAGATAGATAGATAGATAGATAGATAGATAGATAGATAGATAGATAGATAGATAGATAGATAGATTTTAACAGCCTAAGGCAGAAGAAAGAAAGAAAGAAAGAAAGAAAGAGACTGATTTAGATAGATAGATAGATAGATAGATAGATAGATAGATAGATAGATAGATAGATAGATAGATAGATTTTAACAGCCTAAGGCAGAAGAAAGAAAGAAAGAAAGAAAGAAAGAAAGAAAGAAAGAAAGAAAGAGACTGACATAGATAGATAGATAGATAGATAGATAGATAGATAGATAGATAGATAGATAGATAGATAGATTTTAACAGCCTAAGGCAGAAGAAAGAAAGAAAGAAAGAAAGAAAGAAAGAAAGAAAGAAAGAAAGAAAGAAAGAAAGAGACTGACATAGATAGATAGATAGATAGATAGATAGATAGATAGATAGATAGATAGATAGATAGATAGATAGAAACAGTGTGGGATACATATGATCAGATTGACATTAAAAAGTTAGGTAAGTAGAAAGAAAGAAAGAAAGAAAGAAAGAAAGAAAGAAAGAAAGAAAGAAAGAAAAGAAAAGAAAAGAAAAGAAAGAAAAGAGGAAGAAAATCTGATGGATAGACATTCAAGCCAAACAAATAAAAGAATTGCATGACATTTTCTTATGTAAACCTTCCTTGTTAGAAGTGTTTGCCTGCGTTGAAAAGAATAGCTTTACTTGGCTTGAACGTGAACCACTGGAGTTGTGTGTGTGTGTGTGTGTGTGTGTGTGTGTCGTATGGAAATTCTTTATATATTACATCAACACACGCGCGTAAAATCCCATATGTGGGGAAATTGAATGACATGTGTGAATAAGTCTTTCGTATTCAACAACCACGACCGTCAGAACATTTGCATACTTGTAAAATCTGTAATGCCTGCCCCATTGGGTATATGCACTTTTATACGCACATGTGCTTTGTTTTTTGGAACTAGAGCCCGACATGAATAAATAGGTTTCTCTTCAACGGTGGCCTTCTGCTTCCTACATCCATTGTCGCCTTACACTCTTTTCAATCTCTCTCTCTCTCTCTCTCTCTCTATTTTCTCTTTGTCTTTTTTTCATCTTTTGTTTATCGTTTTTGTCTATCTCTCTCTCTCTCTCTCTCTCTCTCTCTCTATTTTCTCATACTTTTTTTTCACTTTCTTTCTTTTTCCGCATTCTTCCTCTTTTTTTACCAACTTTTTTCCCGCTCGATCAGCGAAGTTAAGCAACGTCAAGTCGAGTCAGTAGCTAGACGAATGACCGCTTGGGAATACCACGTGTTGCAAGCTGGAATTTGCAGGTGGTGCAATGGATAATGAACTGAATTCTTAATCGGCGGGCCGGTTTCCAATCCCAGTCGGGTTTATCAAATACATTTACGCGCCAATACTGTTGGCAAAGTCCATTTCTTCTCTCTTCACCTATGGCTTAATTAGTGGGACATGTATCAGTAAACCATTATTATCTCCAAAAATAAAATAAAATTGTGTTTAAAATATTTTAAATTCGGCATTAAATAATCCATAGAGGTTAATATGCCTCTAAAAAAAACAAAAATCCTAACTCTCTCTCTTTTTCCCTCTCTTTTTTCCCTCTCTCTCTCTTTTGTTCTTTTCTATATTAATTTCTCTCTTTCTTTTTCCCCCTCTCTCTTTCTTTTCGCCCCTTTCTATCTTTTCTTCAATTTCTCTCTCTCTTTCTTCCCTCTCTCTTTCTTTTCCTCCCTTTCTGTCTTTCCTTCAATTTCTCGCTTTCTTTTTCCCCTCTCTCTTTCTTTTCCTCCCTTTCTATCTTTTCTTCAATTTCTCTTTCTTTTTCCCCTCTCTCTTTCTTTTCCTCCCTTTCTATCTTTTCTTCAATTTCTCTCTTTCTTTTTCACTCCCTCTTTCTTTTTGTCCCTTTCTATCTTTTCTTCAATTTCTCTTTCTTTTTCCCCTCTCTCTTTCTTTTTGTCCCTTTCTATCTTTTCTTCAATTTCTCTCTCTCTTTCTTCCCTCTCTCTTTCTTTTCCTCCCTTTCTATCTTTTCTTCAATTTCTCTTTCTTTTTCCCCTCTCTCTTTCTTTTCCTCCCTTTCTATCTTTTCTTCAATTTCTCTCTTTCTTTTTCACTCCCTCTTTCTTTTTGTCCCTTTCTATCTTTTCTTCAATTTCTCTTTCTTTTTCCCCTCTCTCTTTCTTTTTGTCCCTTTCTATCTTTTCTTCAATTTCTCTTTCTTTTTCCCTCTCTCTTTCTTTTCCTCCCTTTCTATCTTTTCTTCAATTTCTCTTTCTTTTCCCCCTCTCTCTTTCTTTTTGTCCCTTTCTATCTTTTCTTCAATTTCTCTTTCTTTTTCCCCTCTCTCTTTCTTTTCGCCCCTTTCTATCTTTTCTTCAATTTCTCTCTTTCTTTTTTCACTCCCTCTTTCTTTTTGTCTCTTTCTCTCTATATATATCGCTCTACAGATATCTCTTATTTCTCCTCTGCCTTTCTTTCTCAGCCTTTATACCTTTTTCCGCAATTTTTCAATTTCATACTTCCCCTCCATCTTTCTCTTTCTCTCACACCTTCTCTCTCCCTCTATCTCCCTCCCTCGCCCTTTCGCTTTCTGTTTCCCTCGCTTTCACCCATTCTCTCTCTTCCCCCTCCTCTCTCTCTCTCTGATATTTTATTTTTATTCAAATTCCTCTTTCAGTCTTTTTCTTATTTTAATTCTTACACGTTGTTTGTTTTCTTTTCTCTCTCACTCGCTCGCTCACCCTATCTCTCTTTCTCTGTGTGTGTGTATATATATATCTATATCTATATATCTATGTGTGTGTGTGTGTGTGTGTGTGTGTCATTGTCATTTTTCTGACCACCACTTCCATTTCATTAATCTATCGGTGGGTCAATAGAATATGCCAATTGAACATCTGGCGGAGGTTAGACAATTCCTCCATAAAGAAACATCTACTTGATGGGTGCTTGCAAAATCGACTATAGACAACTAGTACCTACCTATCACAAACTCAGTGTTTGCCTCTAAGTATAAACACGACCAATGTTTACATATAGACGCAAATATAAATTCATTTTTACTCTTACACTTTGTTTCTTTTCTTTTCTCTCTCACTCCCTCGCTCACACTATCACTCTTTCTTTCTCTCTCTCTCTCTCTCTCTCTCTCTCTCTATATATATATATATATATATATATATATATTATAAATTAATTGATTTAAAATATGTTTTTTCGCTACACAGTTCCAACCATGTTTCAAAAATATTTCAAAAATATATTTTGAAACATGGTTGGAAACTGTAGCAAAAAAAAAAAATATATTTTAAATCAATTAATTTATAATATTAATGCTCTGTAAATTTACATTGAGCACTATTTTGTAAAAATAAAAATACCTATAAGAACACCGGATTTTATATCTTACTGTTCTTTTATATATATATATATATATATATATATATATATATATATATCTCTCTCTCTCTCTCTCTCTCTATATATATATATATATATATATATATATATATGCACAAGCCTATCGTTTGGTTTTCACTCATCCTTGATCTTTTGAACAGGGGTAAAGTTTTATCACTTGTTTCCTGTTTAGGATTGGGTTTCCGGTTCCTTCTAAAATCTACTTCAACTCTATACGTCCAATGTCTCCACCAGAACTCAGAAATTTTCATTACTAATTATTTATTTCATTTTTTCTTTCCTTTTCTTTTCTTCTCATAAAACGATGTGAGTAGGTTCGCCTATCGTCCGTTTCACACTCCTCCTTGGTTTTTGAACAGGAGTTGAGGTTTATCCCTTGTTTCCTCTTTAGGATTGGGTTTCCGGTTCCTTTTAAAGTCTACTTCAACTCTATACTTCCAAAGTCTCTGCTTGAAATCAGAAATTTTCTTTACTAATTATTTATTTCCTATTTTTCTTTTCTTTTCTCTTCTTCTCATAAAAACAATGTGGGTACGTTCGCCTATCGTCTGATTCACACCCTACTTGGTCTTTTGAACAGTCGTAGAGGTTTATCCCTTGTTTCCTGTTTAAGACTGTGCTTCCATATCCTTCAAAAGTCCATCTTCCTTGTGCTCTCTGTCTGTCTGTCTGTCTGTCTTCTCATCCTATTTTCTCGATATTTCTTTATCTATGTCTACCTCTCTTTCACCTCATTTTTTGTTCCGCTCTCCAAATCCCCCAAATCTCTAAACTGCTTTAATAACATTCTCCTTTTCTCTCTTATTAATATTTTCCTTTTCTTTCCCTCTCATTTTCAATTTGCCCATAACATATTTGTCTTCATGTTTTTTTCACTCCTCCCCTAAAGCTTATGATCTCATGCTAAACAGTCGGAAAGGGAATAAGATCGCTTGTCTGCCGGCTTAGAAAATCAGCATCACAAATAATGGCTTTCATCAAGACTAGAACATCGATCTCTAGTACCAAAGAAAAGTGTATAACTATCCTCCCCATATTTCTCGTCCTCGCTCTCCTTCTCCTGTTCCTTCTCCAGTTCCTTCCTGCTCCTTCTCCTGCTCCTTCCCTGCTCTTTCTCCTGCTTCTTCCCTGCTCTTTCTCCTGCTCCTTCACCTGCTTCTTCTCCAGCTCCTTTCCTGCTCCTTCTCCAGCTCCTTCTTCTGCTCAAGCTCCTTCTCCAGCTCCTTTCCTGCTCCTACTCAAGCTCCTTCGCCTGCTTCTTCTCCAGCTCCTTCTCCTGCTCCTTCTTCAGCTCCTTCTTCTGCTCAAGCTCTTTCTTCAGCTCCTTTCCTGCTCCTACTCAAGCTCCTTCACCTGCTTCTTCTCCAGCTCCTTCTCCTGCTACTTCTCCTGCTCCTTTCCCTGCTCCTTCTCCAGATTTTTCGTGCTACCATTAAATACACCAATGAAGAATCGAACCCCAGCCTTACTACATCAAATATTGAGGCTGTGTTCTCTATACAATGTTGGTTTTTACAGAGTGAACGTGCCAGACCCACATCCAGTTGGATTTGAATTCACAGCTGTGTAGATGGGTTACCAAGTCTTCCCTGTTATTTAACCCCTACCTGGGAAGATAAGTGTTAGATATAAATTTTGTATTTCTTTATAAGTATTTCGACTTCAGGGTCCATTTCATGTTATGTCAAATGAAATGGTGGACTTAAATGTTTGTATTTGACCTTCTGCGAGGCTTGATTGCAACGAACTCCTACGCGCAGCAGCAGATGTATTAATGGAAAACCTCATAATTCACAACACCTGCTGTCGTACAACGCATCCGTTTATCAATAGATAATACGAATATATATATTTGTATGTGTGTGTGTGTGTCTCTATGTTGAATCTATACACAAAAAGACACCCACACACATATATATATATATTAGATAGATAGATATGCTTGCATTTAAATGTGTGTATGTGTATTCAATAGTTTTGTTGTTAAAAACGAACAATTCAACATCTGTTTTTGCATACGTAAAATACAGATACTTATATAGATTAAGAAACAAAATGAATTATGAAAGTTTTTATTTATCCATTCCTTTATCACTCTCGATAGACACAAACACACACACATACACAGACGCGCACACACACAAACACTCTCTCTCTATATATATATATATATATATATATATATATATATATATATATATATATATCTTCATTCAAAGATGTTTCATTAAATAATATAGACATATGCCTATTTTTATGATGGTTCTTTCCAGTTCTCTAAACAGTTTCTTGATGTTAAGATGAAAATCGTTAAAAAATTAAAAGAAAAACAGTTAAATTCATAGCCTCCATTTTATTTTTTAAAAATTATGTTTAATTTTTTCTCACCATCAATTAATTTAATAATTAACTGCATAAAAAAATTCAACATCCTTCATTCACTTTTGTTTATTAAGTCATTAAATTACGTCACTTAGCATCTTCAATAAATAATTTACCTCAACTTTTCAGTTAACCTGATGAATATTTATGAGCGTCTATTGAAGTGAAAAATTTTGTAAAGCTAAGAATACATTTTTAGTTTTGTTTATAAATACTTGTTACAAAAAATCTTCATATTTGCCTTGATAAAGTCTACTAGAGAAATCCGTCGGCTAATATATATATATATATATATATATATATATATATATATATATATAACATCCTCAGAATGCAGGAGATAGGAGAAGGAAGATAATGAGGAAGAAGCAATGAAAATCTTTATCAGGTACCAGGACTAAAGGATTGTCATTCTTGCCCTGAGGTAATTAACGTCTACTGGATTTTAAATTTTCCTTGTTAAACAAATAGAATTCGATATCAAACACTGTAATTTCCTGAAAAAATTAAATAGTGCTGCATGTTAGCTTAAAAAGATCACTAATATATACAAAGATTACCTATTTCATTAATTTATATATATATATATATATATATATATATGACAAAGTGGAAAAGGTATTCGTGTGACCTGTTTCGTCCTTTGGGACTTCATCAGACTAAAAGTAAGGTCTACTATAGATTCCTTTATAATTTGCCTTGATAAAGTCAGTAAGAGAACAAGACGTTTCCTCTAACATTTTTCTTTTGTCTTTATTCATATATATATATATATATATATATATATATATATATATATATATATAGTTAGTTAGTTAGTTAGCGTCATCAGAACGTCGTGAGAGATAAACATATGAGAAAGAAAATAATGAGGAAGAGGCAATAAAAATCTTTATCGGGTAGCACAACTAAAGTATTATCATTTAGTTGCATTCAAGGCAAAAATGCCATGAAGACAAGTCGAATCTATTATATTCATTTACGTACTAATACCCTTGGTAAAGGTATGAATGTTCTTCTTCTCTCTTCCCCTCCCCTCCAGCTATGGATAAATAGCAGGACAGGCCGCGTTCTATAGCCTTGAATGGCAACTGTTCTATAGCAGAAAGAAATGACAACCTACTGTGGGAAAAATCTGCCTCGTCAGTCATGTATCTTTCGATACATGATCGCCTAAGCGTGTATCATGCATGGCACATAACTAACTGTTTTTGAGAATGACAACAAAAATAATAAACACTATTTATTAGAATATTTATTGCTTAATATGGATCATATATGTACACACACACACACACACACACACACACACACACACACACACACAAATATTAAATAGAAACGTTTATCGCCGTCCCGTGTCTGTCTTCTTTAATTAAACATATATCCGTAGAAACTAATGTTATGAATATATGTGCTAATAAAATTCAGTAAATTTCAAAAAGTTATTCCGAAATTCGCTTGAAAATGAAACAAAACTAGGGACTTTAATTTAATTTAATTTAATTCTATAATTGAATTTGAGGTTTTTGGCTCCTGTTTTTAAAATAATTCCTGTGTAGCGATGGAACCATATTTTTAATAAATAAATTTTATATATATATATATATATATATATATATATATATATATATATATATATATATATATATACTGAAAAAAATTATATATATACTGAAAAAATTATATATATATATATATCATTAAAAAAATAATATATATATATACTGAAAATATATATATATATACTGAAAAAATTATATATATATATATATATATATATATATATATATATATATATATATATATACTGAAATATATATATATATGTATATACTGAAAAA